TAAGGTTCATCTATCTCACCCCGGCTCTTGCTAAAAGATGATGAAGGTACTTTTTTAGCAGACATGCAACCCTTTAGACGTTTGAGGGATGTCGTTCACTTAGTTGACCATCAATGTGTGTGATTCCAGATGTCTTGACTTCCCACTATCAAAATTCTGTCTTGTTAGCGATATTAATTCTTCAAGCTCCTTTCTGCTATCAGCATCGCAATTGACAACGGAGTCCGTGGATGTTACTAAATAGAGAGCCGACCCTGATGACCAATCTTAAGGCAGAAATTCTTTCAATACTGGTTTACACTAGGCTCGTAGCTCCATGTATATCATCATTATCTATCAAATGTATGATTCCCTCGTTTATTTTTCTTCCTTTTGAAAATATGTATCGCAGTTCTTATCATATAAGTAACGAAATACCCTGTCAAAACTTTCTTTGAATCTAGGAACTGGCATATGTTACAGATGTCCCAACAACTTGACTAGCGAGTTACATAACTTACGAGCGAGATGCGGATTCGCGGTGGCGATCCGCCAAGAGCTGTATACCATAAGAATCTCTATGAAAAATATATCCCAGATCTGTTTTCCATATCTGCTGAACGGCATTCTGAGAGGAGCTGCACGCGTTTTTTTCCTGCTCAATCTCTGCAAACGCTTGTCTAACCGAACTATAGCAACAACGTCGAGTGAGTGGATGGCGCAGTGGTAAGTCTAAGTTTTTTATAATCGAGTTCGAATTCTGCTGGATCACTTTATTTTGCATTATTATTTTTCAATTTATGAAGGTGTGTAAAGCAACTTGATGCATCTCTATCTTCAGTTTTACAAAAAATGTTGATTGAAAAGTTAGCTGAGCTTGAGTGCTCATCCGTTATTTTATTTTTCTTTATTTGAAGAAATAAAGGATAGAGATGCATTAAGTTACTTTACACACCTTCAGCAATTGAAAAACAATAATGCAAAACAAATTGCTCCCGCAGAATTCGAACTCGATTATAAAAGACTTATACCACTGCGCCATCCACTCGCTCGACGATGTTGCTATAGTTCGGTTAGACAAGCGTTTGCAGAGATTGAGCAGGAAAAAACGCGTGCAGCTCCTTTCAGAATGTCGTTCGGCAGATATGATAAAACAAATCTGGGACATATTTTTGATAGAGATGCTTATAGTATACATCTCTTGGCGGAGCGCCACTGCGACTCCGCATCCTTCCCTTGTTAGTGTTCTCCAATACTATATTTATTCAACCATGTACTATTAGCTTGCTTCCATGCCGTTAACGTTAGCGGCATGAAAGCAAACTAATAGTTAATGGTTGAATAGGTGGCCCAATTAAACCTGGTAAACCTCTGGCTGCAGTGAACGAGCTGACATGCCAATTTATCGCTTAGGAAATATTGTTAGCATACATAAATCTAGGTGTGCCGTATAATTTCACTAATCCAGGACATTCTAGGTACTTTGCCTCCATTGCCGGTCATCGTATGATCTCTGCTGGTGTCGAAAATCGTGTCCTCGCTACAAATCCCATCATGGAATCTATAGGAAACGCAAAAACTATTAGGTAAATTTGGCGAGAAAAAACTAGTGGTAAGTAGCGTATGAGCAGTTCATTCAATTCTAACTTCAGAAATGACAATTCCTCACGATTTGGAAAATTTATACAAATCAACTTTGATGAAAAATTCCTTATCAGCGGTGCTGAAATGAAGACTTATTTACTCGAAAAGAGCAGAGTCGTTTTCCAGGTATGAAATTTATATTTTATACACCTCTTTCTTTTATCATGGATCTAGCTTCACCCATAAGGTAGATTCCTATAGAAAATAAACAAAACAAACAAAATAAACAAAAAAACATAAACATGGGGAAAATAAAATCAACTGTCGTGTAGTGAAAAAACTAATTTTAAGGCTCCAGCCGAGCGCAACTATCACATCTTCTACCAGCTCTGTGCTGCTAGAGACCACCCATTGATAAAAGATCTGGAATTAGGTAGTGTAACTTAATCTTTTCACTTTAGTCTCATAATAGTAATTCCAGGAACAAGTGAATCTTATTGGTATACTGCGCAAGGCGGTGACGGAAGGGTTCCAGCAGTTGATGATCGTGAGGACTTTTTGGAAACTGTCAAGGTATTCAGAAATCATTGTGATACCTGAAAGAAGAACTATGTTTGATTAGGTTTAAGCTGTCTATTTATCAGGCTCTTGACATATTGGGGTTCAACCAAGAGAAGCAAAAGGATGTATATCGAGTACTGAAAGGTATTCTACTTCTTGGTAATATTGAATTTGAGTCAAACGGCGACAATTCTACTATCGCAGTAAGTCCTGTTTATTGTTTATTTATACATTTGCTACTTATGAAACAGG